GTGCGAGTGTCGTCCACAAAAGGTGCCCACGGACATTTGCTGGGCTCTTCGGGCAATTTAGAAGCAGTTTTCGTTGTTCAAGCATGTGCCGAAAACCAACTTCCGCCATCTATTAATATTGAACACTTGGATGAGAGCATTAGTGTGCCAATAGTACAGAACAAATCAGAGAAGTGGCATCAAGATACGAAAGCGCGAAGGATTGCATTGAAAAATTCGTTTGGATTTGGTGGCACAAACGCTTCAATTTGCATAGCTGATTATCGAGATTAAACTGGGTTGGTAGATTGTTGCAATTTTTCTTTTATGTAATACATATATTTAGTTATGAGCAGAGTTGTGAAAAATGCATTAATTTTTTAATGTATTAAAGGTATTTAAAGCAATAATGTTAATGTAAAAAATTAATGCATTAATTTTTGAAATATAATGCAAATGAAAATTTCAATGCATTAATTCTGAAAAATGTAATGCTAATGATTTTTCTTTTTCATTAAATTATCCAAGCTAATGCAAATGAAAAAAATTTAATGCACTGAAATGTTTAATACCTTTGCTCGTTTGCATTATTAAAGACCATTAAATTTTTTTTCTAGTGAAATATAAATAACCTCTTTTGGAAGGTCTTGGAATAATTACTAATAGTTTTTTCAGCTTCATTATATTATGGGTATTTGTAGAAACATTCTTCTAAACATTGTTAGATGTTTTATGAAAATAAAAGCCAATGTGCATGCAACTCAGAGTGCTTTTGTAGATTTTTATGTTGATTGTTGATGCATATTACATATAAAACGGACAGATAGCCAATTTGGCAGGGCATGTACACGACTGAGTGAAAACCAGCCTTAACGTCCGTCACTATCTTTTTTGCACTTAAAATTCTACTTCAAAATAAAATTAGTTAATGGGTTTTTAATGCTTGTTATAATTTTAATGCAATAAATTATTGCAATAGCATTCATTTAAAAATTTTAATGTTAATACAAAAAAAATCAGTAGCATTATTTCTTTGGAATTAATGCATTGAAATTTTCATTTACAGTAAATATTAAAAACTAATGCATTAATTTTTTCCATTTACTACATTAAAATGCTATGCGTTAAAAAATTTAGAAAATTGTTAAAAATATTGACCAAAAATTTACATGTGTTTTAAATACGTATATATGTATATACAAATGTACTTAGGAACTAAAATCTGTATATAATAATAATTAGAATTTATAAAAGTAAAACATTTAACACTTTCTTGAAGCAATTTCCATTTGTACAAAGTTTTATATTAGTAAGAAAACATGCAAGGAGTTTTGTTGAGAAATGCATCAAGTGAAAGCATCAGTCTCTTATTTTTAAACTATAATCGATGGAAATGCCTTATTTGCGTGTCTAAGTTACAATTCGGCATTTAACCGTGGTTGTGCATATTGGCGATTTCCTTCAATTGCAATTAAAAAAAAAAAATATTCTGATGCTTTGGCTTGATACATTACGGAACACAGGGAGGATTTTGGATATCAGTAACAAAAGTTAAATCATACAATCATTAAAAAATTGGCCCGGGGGCCCGGGAAGTGCGCAACTTCGACAGGGTCTGTCCATAAGGGCAGGGGCGTTAGCTGGGTGGGATTCTCGGGGCATGTGAAGAGGTGCCGAGAGTCATGTGGCGACTCTCCACATGACGGACATTGGTTGGGCGCATCCTCATTAATTCTCCTCAGGTATGAGTTTAGCCTGCTGCAATAGCCAGAGCGCAGTTGGGCTATTGTGGTGCGCGTCTCCCGAGGCAGACAAAATTATGTCCCTTCCACGTTAGGCGGTTGTGTGCCTAGAACGGCATTCACAGGACGAGAGTCTACATAACTTGAGACCGACTCCTTGTGAATCCCTGCCTGTCTATAAGCTGACAGGTCCAGAGGTTGTTTA